TGCTGTCTTGTGTCCCTTCACTTCTGAAATAATGGTGCCCTCAAAAATATCCTCTCTTTAGAATGGACAGCTACCTGGCATTATGCCTTATACCTACCCAATTTCCCTATCACCTAAAGTCAGAATGATCGCTAATTGATTCCTAAATCCTGCAGCCAGCAGACTCAACAGAGATGCTGCTGCTGTTTCTGTAACGTAAGATAACTTGGCAACTCTCCCGAATAGTTCTGTCCACATTCTCAGAGGTACAGAACCACATCATCACCCTATAAGGCCTTCAGTGGAACTGGGGCCAGGCTACAGCTGTCCTTTCCTGAAATCAACCTCAGTACATGGCAGTCACATAGTGGTAACCAGCCAGCACAATCCTCTGCTTTAAGATCTGGCACCCATCCACACTTTCAATTTCATTCAGGCTATAGGAGCATAGTCCCCAAAGGCAACAACGGCACCTCCCCATTCAGCCGCAATTCACAGGGGACTTGACAACTGAGTCCAGTCAATTGTCTGAAGAATTATGCATCAAATGAACTTCAGTAGGGAAACAGGCTCCCCTACTCGGTGAGAATAAGTTTACCACTACTGGGTTAATGCTCTACTTACCTTCTGCCGTAATACTAAACCTGCCTAGAGAAATGGCTAATCAGTGTTTAACAATGATGGGCTGCAATTTCATTTGATCTATACTGATATACACTGAAAATCACTTCAACTCTAGATACTGAATAAATAATGTACTTTATGATTCTACAATAATTCTAACTGCCAGGGCCTTATAGAACTAGTTAATACTAAACTTTCTGGGTGCAAATTTCTGCACGTATTACACTCACTCCGTGGGAATATCATAAGGCAGAATTTTCAGTTGGGGAAACAATTTGTGCTGTAATACTTATCTACATGAATTTCACTTCTTTTTCTGCTGAATGGTGGTACATAAAACAATTCTACCATTTTCAAGTGTATTAGGAACTAATTAAATGGATAATTCTTGACCTGCACAATTTGCAAACAACTACTTTCGAACATTCAAATTTGACACTGGGTGTGTCTACACATGCAATTAATGCAAAGCAATAAACTCTGGAGCAGTTTGAGCCTGAGTAAACTACTCCTGGGCGCAGCATCTACATGTGTACCCAGGACAGCAGCAATTTGAACCAGGGCACAACAGGCCCAGGCTGACAGGGGACACAGGGGCTCAGCGCTGGGCTCCGGGTGGCAGCATCAGACAGCAGAGAGGTTGGCTGGGGCACGAGGGTGCTTAAAGTACAAAGCTATGTGGCTAGGCAACAGGCAGGAATCTGCCTCCCAGCTAGCTAGGCTGACTGGGCTCATTTTACACCCATGCTCAACGTCTACACGTGCATTTAATTGCAGTAAATTACTTTGGTGTAAGATAGTACGATCCCTGATGATACTATTTTACTGCAGTGTTAATTAGTTTACTGTGGTCTAATACCATCATAAGTGCAGATGGTGATGCTTTACTCTACAACTAGTCCACTCTGCAGTTAAGCACGTATATATGCAGCCCCTAAGTCTGTAAAGTTGCATGATTCTGGTTCTGCACCCCAATAACAAAACAAACCAATAAGAGCATTAGTTTCAAACTGCATTCTCAAGCAAAAAAATTCAGTTCCCAATTCTCACTGTGCTTGGACAGCCATAAATTTTGAAATCTGGTTTCACTGAATGTTTGAGCACTCAAGCTTAAAGCTCACACCCAGGGAGTATGCAGGCTAGTAAACTGTGAACATTAACACAACCATGGAAAGCAAGCATACAAGGGAAACGAGCACAGTTAAAGTGAATGTTATTTAAAAGCTAGAATACATATTAAAAGTCTTTTTGCCAGAACTACCCCCCACCAGTGTATGAATTTAATCTCTGAACTTGCATGACAACTCCCACTCCCACAGAAGTCAATGGAAGTTTTTTGCCATTGACTTCAATGGGAACAGGATCTAGCCCTTGGTGGAACAGAGCTGTATCAAGGAATGGCATAGTGGTCTTACCTTTCAGTGAGTTCTTAAAGGTGTAAGCAGGAGTCATTTTCATCCGGGTCAGGTGGTTGAATATGTCCCTCTGAGAAGGTTCCAAGATTTCCTTTAAAAAAGTATCCATTTATCTTTCTAAGTATACAGCAGAAATGCATAATGTACATCATATCAGGCTAAGCAACCAAAAACATGCCCTGCGTTTTTTTTCCTCTCTCAGAGGCCTGCAAGCTGAGAGCAGAATAAAGGAAGCTGTCAGGCTGCCAGCAAACAATTGGTGTTACTATAGGGATGTTATGTTACAGCCATTCACAGGGAGATGCAATGATGACTTCTTACCCCATCAGGTTCAAAGTCTAATTAGAAGCCTAGCAAATCATTGGGAGTCATTCCACAGAATTGCAAAGGGCTCTGGATCTGGCCCTAAATACATTACATATTGTGCCATGCAGGCCCCGCCACGGCCGCTGGCTCCATGATCCAGCCGCACACCACCCCCTCCTCCCACCCCTAGCTCTGTGGTCTGGCCACTCACCATCCCTGCCCCCCCAACCCCACACAGGCTGATATGCCCGAGGCTCCACACACCCCTAGGGATGGTGCTGTTAACATGCAAGTATCACCCACCACCCCAATGTTAACTACTGTAAAGTCAAGCAGTCAAGAGTCTTGAAATCTCAGAATTAAAGTTTCCTTTGTGACCTTAGGTCACTCTCTTTGTGCATATGCATTATAACACTCTGTATTTATGTGATTGCATACTACTTTTCCCAAAGAATGATGATGAAGTCAAGGTATAAGAGAGTGAACGAGCAGCTTTCCAATATTTTTTTCTCCTCTTTGTTCAGTGTGTGTCCCCTGCCTTATTGTCTACACACTATTCAAACCCTGATTTGAAGAATAAATAATTTACTCCAGGGTGTTTCTCTGGTGCTTATCACACAAGTTATCTGACTGCTTCATAAACATTAATGACTTTTTCTTCACTAGATCTTTGGGAGCTGAGGGTATCCCCATTTTTGCAGAGGAGGAACTAAGGCACAAAGATTATAAAAGTATCCACTAATTCTTGGGGCTAAGTCCAAAACCCTTTGGATCTGTTTTATCAGAGTACTCAGCATTATATTTCACTTGATTTAGTCAGAGCATAGCTCCCTAGGACTTGAGCTGCAGCTATGTTCAGCATTTTTGCAGATCAGATCCTTGGGATGTCATGAGAAACACCTGCAAGAGAAACATTTTGGGCAGAATCCCGTTTCATTTTTCCTAGTAATTAAGCATTTTGTGACCCAACTACACACGCAATGTGGATGCAGTTGTCTGCTTTGGACAAGTCAAAATCACAAAAAATCTACATGGCAAAAAGCCATGTTAGATGTCAGAGGAGGAAGAGGACTATTTAAGATTTTAGCCTAACAGCCTATTGGCCAGGACATTTGCCAAACAAGCAGGAGACCAAAGTTAGGCATTACCTAGCCTCCTATCAAGCCATCCTCTTAAATCTAGCTTTCTGGGCAGACAAGAGGCAGATATGAAACAAATTGGAGGGTGTGTGGCTCACTGAGATGGCTGCTGCCCTAGAAGGAAGTAGATCCTGGCCAAGACACTTGCTTCTCATGCAGACCCTTCCTCACCGTTTGTTTTCCATTTATCCAGTGCTCCATTATCTAATGATTATTAAATGGAGGATGCAGTGGGTCAGCTTCAAGAGGACAGCTGGTAACCCCTGCTTGGTGGTTAGAGCAGTATGCTAGTAAGTCAGAGATACAAAACCCTTTGGGGTGAGGGGGGGCTAAAGCCTGGACCTCTTACTTCCTGGGCAAGTGCTTTAACCACTAGGAGATTAGACCAAAATACAAAAGGATCTTTGTCCTCCTCTTTCATCTAATACCCTTTAGCCACAGGGTTTTACCTGGCTATGATTTGGAGTATTACTCTCACCCAGGTACATAAATCCCTGCGCATGCCGAGTAGTCACATGAAAGCTCATGCCTCTGCAGCGTGTGTGGAACATGACAGCTAACTGCGCTTAAGTGCAAAAAATGGGAGTTACATGCCTGAAAAACAGTGCACAAAGTGAAACAGGATTCTGCCCTTAGTGGCCACCTGTGAGAAGTCTATTTTAATAGGGTTACCATATTTCCATTTTCAAAAAAGAGGACACCTGTTTGGGGAGGGTGGGGGGCTATATGAATGCTGGTGCCCCTCACTCCCAACCCACAGCCGCCCCCACCCCCACCCCATCCCTACTGATGCACCTCACTCCTGACCTACATCCCCCTGGCACTGCCTGTTCCCTGCACTCCTGGCCCACAGTCCCCCATGCCCTGGTGCCCCTCAGTCCCAAACCACGCACCCTCCTCCCCCAGCCCTGCCACTGCCCCTGACTCCTAACCTGCAGCCCCCTGCTCCCCCAGCCCTGCAAGCATCTCCAGGCTGCCCTGGCCCTGTGAGCACAGGCGCTGGTGCAGCCCGGCCACACAGCTCCCTGCTACCCCTCCCTTCCCCCCCGGAGGAGCAGTGCCCCTCCTGCCCTGCTGCAGCCCAGTGCCAGGGAAAACTTTGATGCTGAGTACAGCAAAATCTCAAATCCCGGACTTTTTTTGATATTTAAAAAAACCGCCTGGATGAAGATGGGAGGACTCAAAAAGAGGACATGTTCAGGAAAACCCGAACATATGGTAACCCTAGCTTTAAGCAATTTTCCTGACATCACATGGGAGCTCTGTGGCAAAAGCAGAGAGAGAATCCAGTCCTCCTGGGCAGCCATCAACTGCCTGAACCATGAGACTGCCCTTTTCTTTTCAGTGATCCCCTGCCTCATTCACTGACCCTGTTCCAGCATCTCCAGCAAATGAGGAAGGGGCTCATCAAAAACAATTTCCTTTATTAACCATCCCTGCTGCTCCCCCACAGCAAACCCATCCCACTGGGGTCCTGCAGGGAACAGCGTGAACATGCAAGTAAAGACTGTATCATAACACGCATGCACAAGGGGACCAAATTCAGGTTGTCCAGGTAGCCTTTATTCTGGGATGCTCCTAATGATTGCAAACCTTAATTATAACAGATCGGTGTACACACACCTTTATTTATTTTGGTTTGCATTGGCTTCTTTCCAATCTCTGGAGGAGAATATATATCTAACCTGTTTCTTCATTCCCTTCAGCCTCTGCCTCCTAGCATTACTCCTACCTTCCACAGGTACCTCATCCACTTCCAGTTTTTGTTCCCAATCTCTCTCTGGCTTCTTATCCCAGTCTGTTTGCCCAGCCAGTCCCAGTCTCCCCTGCTCCATCCCCTGATCTGATCACAAAACTGCCACCTGGGTCAACTGGCCCCTAGTCCCTCTGGAGTCTCTCTCCATCTTCTACTCCCAGACTTCTTGGCTGACTAGTCCAGACCTTCCCTCCCCCAAATCCCAGTCTCAGCCTTTTATCCTTCCCATTCACAATGCTTCCTCTCTAGTCCTCATTTTTCTTTCCTACCAATTTCAACCCCAAACTAAGCAGCCTCCTTTTTCCAATCTATTTCCTTCCCTACCTTGGTCTGACTTTTGCTCATCTACATTAAAATCAGGCAGCTCCCTCCTTCACATTTTTTGGATGCCAGATTCTTGAGATCACAAGAAAGACAAGACCCCAGCTCCAAGTTCTGGTACCCAGCATACCATGGATTTGAGCAGCTATAACAGGAAAAGATTGGATTTGTTCCCTTAACCGGTCACTCCAAAAATGGTTCACATGCAGTGTCATCACCATGACAGAAGCTGTGAAGGAATGGGGTAGGCTTGTTGCAGGTAGAAACTTTTGGCTGCTAAAATGGATGTCTCACTTGAACACGCACAAACTACAATTTTCAAAGCTTCATAATTTGAATAGATTTGGGTTGATCTTCATGGCAACTGAATAATACATCCCTGACACCCTTAGCATTGTACGGCCAAATGTCAAGTCCTTGTTCCAAAGCATGCTGGCACTAGAGCTGCTCAACTCCCCAGAACCCAAAGAGGCATTATTTTCCTTCTAGCCCACTAAACCATTTTGGCTTAAAATTTCCAGAAACACAAGCTGAGACAGACAACCAGCATGGGAAATTTCAGCCCAAATGGTAAAAGTTTGGTAAGTGATAAGAAACTGAAAACAGGACCTTATAAAGAGATATTTCAGACAGCGTTAACAATAAGTGGTGCTGAGAGAGGTAGGTAGCCCTGTCTGAAGCCAGGCAAAAGGCAGGGCAGAGTGGGACTTCATAGACTAATTCAGAGACTAATTAATAAGTGGAATTATAAGCCATGTCTATGAGCTCCTGACTGGCTCTGTAGTAGCTAATGAATTGCCTATCTACTTGGATATTTTTCCCCCGCCATCTATGAAACCTGGTGCTTTTCCTGTGCCATTGTTCCTAAACCTCTCAGAGTTACAGTATAGGCACTTTTCACAAGCCTCCCTCCACATAGCCAAATTCAATTATAATCCATTGTCACCACAGAAACCAGAAGTAGTTCAGCTGACCTGGAAGTGTCGCATTGTTCGTATCAGCATTACTGCCCCACAAACCAGTCCCTGCAACCCCCAACTGTGTGAGCAGCTCCATTAACATCAGCCCGGCAGGAACACAAACAGAAGGAGCCGACCTTCAGCACATCAAATATTCACAAGCTCCATAACTAAGGTTGTGAATCCCTGAGTAACTCAAATAAACCTCCCTGTGGCTGTTTCTCCAACTGTGCTAGTGGCTTATGCAGGGGCAGGATTGTTAGGAAATGAGCACATCTGGGTTCTATCCCGTTTTCATATGACTTTAGGGCCAGATTCCTAAAGGAAATTAGGCACCTAAGTACCTTTAAAATGCCGGTCCTGGACTCCTTGTCTGTCTAGGCCAGTGGTTCTCAATCTTGTTAGATTCAAGGCTTCATTGGACTCAAGGCACCCCTTGGAAAATGCCAGCTTTTATCTTTCACTTATTTTTTTACTACAGAAAAATAATAGAGCAACGGTTCTGTCATAAAGAACTCGGACAGACCACAATAGGTCAGAAATGGTTTCACACTACGGATTCCTATTTGAAATTTTTGGGTTTATCTTGTGAATCATGTGTAGGCATTTG